AATCTTATCCCAAAAAAGCAGACATAATAATGTCTGCAGTGAAGTACCTCTACTATGCAAAATCTATGTTCAAAAGATTCCTTCTGTATACCATGACTTGAAAAGCTTCATAAACATCAAAATCGAAACCCTTACATTTTACATCCATATACATGTGTTTATATACATATATTTAGATAATGATATATCATTCAACTTTTTTCCACCCCAAAATAACAGTTTATGAAGCAGAATAAATAGCATCAATTTGGCAAAGCATGATCGAACAGCAAGTTCTCTCACAAATGTTTTTTATTCTTAGTGCAGGCAAATAATTTCAGTCTGGGGACTGTAAAATCCATTTGTAGTTCAAAGTATTTTGTTAGGTTTCTTTTCACATTCAATAACTTTGAATGTGATGAAATGACAACATTTTGTAAGTTTTACACAGCTAGCAGTACTTCTACTTACTGTCTTGTACACTGAAACAGTGACTGTCACCAATATATCTGCCTTTGTACACCAGAAGTGAGCACAATGGAATAATCTAAGTTGGAAAAGTCCTTTAAGATCATCAAGTCCAACTGTTTATCCAGCACTGCCAAGTCCATCACTAAACCATGTCCCCAGTCACCACATCTGGACATGTTGGCAACTCCAGCACTTCCCTGGGCAGCCTGTTCCAATGCCTGACAGCACCTTCAGTGAAGAATTTTTTCCTAATATCAAATCTAAACTTCCCCTGGCCCAACTTGAGGCCATTTTCTTTTGTCTTATCACTTATCACTTGGGAGAGGAGATTGACTCCCACCTTGCTGCAGCCTCCTTTCTGTCAGAGAGAAAATGTGATTATACACAATTCAGTATTTTGACATTACCCTTAAAACAAGATGCCAATTTAGCATAATTTAAACACAAATATTTCAAAGCTGAGAGAAAGACTGATGTGGACCTGCAATACAAGCTTTCCCTTTCACTAGCCTTGGTGCTGCTCACTGTACATGGCAAATGGTCCATATAATGCTGAAGAAAATATCTCAAAACTTAATGCTGTGAGCACAGGCAGCTATGCTGTCCATGCCCTTTCTTCATTTACACCCAACCACTAAAAGTTGCCTTTACATCTTCCCATTTTGTTTGATCATCCCAATTATGATTATATTTAACACCAAAATTTAAACAATATGGTTCACACAAGGGAACCAGTTCAGAACTGGATGTTTAATAATAAACCAAGAACATACAATTTGAGTAATGGAGTATTTTAAAGACAGAATTCAATTTTAATTGTATTTTTATTCTTGCTTCTTAATCAAACCCACATGGACTGCATTGTATTTAATGAAACTACAAGATTAATATTTCAACAAACCAGCCAGTATATAAGCCCACAACTGAGCAGAAGTTGAAGAGTTTATTTAAAAATATTTTTTAAAAAAGCCTTTTATGATAGAAGCACCCCCCTGTAGGCTTGGGTCTGCTTTCTCTTCTCTTTCAGGAGTGATCTCTCCTTGAACACTGAGCTTTGTCTCCATGCATTATTCCTTGCTTTTCAGTTCTGGTTTGGATTTGACTGGCTGAGAACACATGAGGTTGGAAATCAAAGCTGCTGTCATCCATTTATTTCCTTACAATGCTGTTGTCTGAAACTTTTACTGTGTAGGACTTGTGAGCCTTCCCTCCTTGTTTAGGACTCCCCTAGGATTGATTTTTTACTGTGCAATGGTTAAGCACAGTTCCTCTTTCTGTCCTCTTTCTCTCTCTAGAGATAGTTAATTACAGTTTGCCAGCAATTGTTTATGAGTACTGCAGATCCTCATTGGGTTAGCTAAATATTTGAACCAATGAATTTATATTATATAAGCCATAAGAATCCAGAATTTGAAGTCCACTTTCATTTTCAAATTAATGCACAACATAAATTTAAGTCCCATATTACATAATTACAGTAGTTTATGAACATTATGTTTCAGGTATTTGTTAAAATATCTCAAAAGGATGAGCTCCTCTGACACAGTGTGAGTGTACGTAAGGCTCACAAATTAGTTTGGTCAATGTAGAGTCCAGCAGTTTAACACCCAGAAAAGTACTTAACAAGTCATGGTCACATGGACATTAAACTTCACAGCAGAGCCTAAATCTTGCTCCTTTGGCAATTTCCACAGCCTCTTCCACCCACTACCCTCTACCTTGTCCTCCCCTTCTTCTCTTCCCAGGTGTATTTACATCTTCCTCCTCCTGATCCCTCAAGCCATACCTATAGGAGAGTGCAGTATGTTACACAGCAGCAGCTAAGCAAATATTGCCCAGCATACTTGCTCTTCAAGGCAAGGACTACAAGAGTTTCACAACCAGTGTGAAATGCACCTTTTCTCCAAGCCTTGCTCTACACTATCAGCTTCTTGCCTTGATTGGTATGTGGGGGAGTTAACAGTGATGCAACTCCCTGAAGACTAAACATGAGCAACCTTGAAAAGCAGTCAGGGCAGCCAAGCAGATATTCTTTACTATTTGAAGCCTTCATATCTACCCAACATCTTCCACTGCAAGAAGTGCTCACCTCACCTACAATTCTGCCCCTGCAAGGTCCCTCCCTCTGAATGGAATTGTGGTTTGCCACACCTTCCCCCAGCTCAGCACAGCTCCTTTTCCTGGGTGAAGGGACAGGGAGCACGTCTCACTGGCACTGGTGCCATTTGGTTGAGAGCTGCTATCACACTGGGAATATTTTGTCAGTCTGTTAACACCACTGCACTGGGAAGGCCTTATGCAAAAGAAATCTCTGAACTTCAGTTGCTTCCTCAGGCCCAGCCATGACTTAAGAGCAAAACCACACTTTTAGGAGAACAAGAGCCACCAGGAAAATGAGAATCCCTCTTCATTAAACACAAATTTAATACTGTCTTTTACTACTTATATAAGTTAAAGCAAGAATATGCTTCTGATGGGATTCATTTTTTTAAACACTTGAGCTAAGTAACACTAGAGTCAAAGGTGATCACTATGTGCCTTACATTACATTTATTCAGATTAATATTGATCTTCTGTAACCCTTCTCCCCCTCTGCTTTATTAATGAAAGGATAATTCATGTGACAGTAAGTAACAGGAAGAATCTGAGAACAGGGAGAACACAGGAAAGGTAAAACAATTTCCTGCATATAAAGTGAGCAAAAGAATTAGAGAACCACAGAATGGTTCAGGTTGGAAAGGAACTCCAGAGGTTATCTGGTCCAACCCCATACTCAAGAAGGGCCACCAAGACAGGTTGCCCAGACCTGTAGCCACATGGCTTTTGGATATCCTCAAGTATGGAGACTTTGCAACTTCCTTGGCTAAGCTGTAAAAGTGCTGGGCCACCATCACCAGGAGAAGGTACTTCCTGATGTTCAGACAGGCCTCCTGTGTTTCAGTTTGTGAAAGAAGACATTAAAGGATGACAGCTGATTGCTGTATCTATGCACATTTTTACAAACTACAACCATCCTTTCTCTGCCTCTTCCAAGGAAGCAGAACATGAAGGAACTGTTACAGATAGTCACAATTTTGGGATGTCCTATTGGGAGCTGGAAGTCAGTACAGCAAAAGTGACAGCACTCACTGCAATTGCACTTGCTTGCCTTTATGAATTTAGACAGCTCCAAGTCACCCAGCTGCCAAAATGCAGAGTATTAAACAGCTTCTGTTTGCCTAAATGGCTCTACCTGCACAATTTAAATATGCTACTGCCATTATTTTGAGTCTCCTACACTGTCAGAGATGTTTCCAAAACCAGTGCTTCTGGATTTTACCATCCAAGAGGGTAAATATTCAGCTTTGAGACTTATTTTTGTTAAAAAGATAAACTCATTCTTTGACCCCAGCAGGAGAACATTCATAAGAGCTCTGCAACAGATCAAGTATTGGTGCAAGAATGTAGTTTCCAAAACTTGAAAGGTAACAGCCATCAGACAGGATAAGAACTGCTGTTGCACAAATAGGCAGTATTGCCTCACGGCCCAACTGGACTCAAAATAAAGTGGCAATCATTCACCAACAGTCCCATGCTGTTTTTTCACAAGGCCAAGGATTTTGTGTGCTCATTTCAGCAACTTGGAGTTGGCTATATGAAGCCAAGGTTCAGCTCCCTCACTCTGCAGCTAATTAGGATGAGGTTTAAGCACACCACCTCTAATATTTTAAATACAGGTTCAACCACTCCAAGTTATCTTCAGTATTAGTACCAGTATTCCAAAAAAAAAAAAAATCCTGGTCACAGTAAAGAGGTTCAACCACTCCAAGTTATCTTCAGTATTAGTACCAGTATTCCAAAAAATAAATCCTGGTCATATTAAAGTTTATTTGCAGAGTACAGTCAGCACAATGGGCACCTGGCTCACTTCTGCTTTGTCAGTTACACAGTGTAAGAAAATAGCCTTATTTAATGGAATTTGCCAAATCTTTTTAACTTTTACTTCCCTCACAAAATAAAATTAAAAATACACCTTGGATTGCTCTGCAGTTCCGGTTTCCACTTCTAAGAATCCACTTATTTATAGCTCAATGTCCTGTTTCTATCAGGACCAGGTTCACCTTCTCTGGCTCCAGCTGCAAGGCAAATCCTTGACCTCACAGCACCATTAACTCACCTCAAATACTGCAACTCTGCTTCCCATTCTGCACCTGACAGATGCACATGGCCTCGTGTTGGTAACTCAGGTATCCTGCAAAACACTTCTATCCTGCTGTCCCAAGATTTTGGGAAAAGACCATTGCTACCACCAGAAACAAAATAAACAAGACTCCTGGAGCTGCTGCTCTAGCTAGACTTTCAGGACACTTCATTTTATGTGGAGTTTCCTCAGCAGATAAATAAAAATATAAAATATACCAGGGTTTTTGGTAGTCAGCTCATAACTTCCAATACTTCATTTTAATTTCATTGAAATCTATGGTTTATTTATAAATTGTTTATCATACAGTTGCTAGAAGTCAGTAAATCTACTTCTGTTTCTAATAAAACAGAACAACTTAGTTCCAGGAAAATACACATGAAAGTCTTGTCCTTTTCATCTCTGCTAACAGCATTTTTTGGTATAAGTTAGATTTTTGCCTAAAACTTCAGCTCAAAATCCAGCCTCTGGAAGCTACTTGAGTAAGAACATTCCTCAGCTCCATCAGGTCCCGTGGCATCCTGAGACTAACCAGCTACAGGCTGTGCAGCTTGCCTTTAATCTATATTCCCTATGCTCTTAATTATTCTCCCATCACAAAAAAAAACCCAACTTGCACACTGGCTCATCATCACTCCCAGCAGTGCAAGACATGCCAAAATCTTGGCATTTAAGGAGATCCCAACCTGGAAGGGAAAAGAAGGCATGAGATAGCACCTTTTATATTCTAAAATTCCAAGATGTCTCTTTTGAAATTCTGAATTCAAACTTTAGCACCTCTGTATGGATTTCAAGCACGTACATACAGCTGAATCAATACATACAGGGAGCCTGGGCCATGCTCAGATCCATTCAGCTTCAACCTTCAGAGCACTTGACAGCAAACTCCTTTCCTGTTCTCCACTTTGCAGAACAATAAATAGGCTGGTATCATTTCCTTTGCCTCTGCCCCTTCAAATAACAGACTTGTACTATTTTGGAAATTTGTGTAATTTACTCAGCATGCTCATTTGCCACTCTTCCAATGAGGGGAGAACTGTAATTGGAATAGACACTCTGAAGTGTCAAAAAGCACTAAAAAATAATGCAGCAGTTCAGAGTACGTCTCCAGTGATGCACTGGAAGAGAAGCAGACAATGCCAAGCAGTCATTGGAAAATAACATGTATGAATCCATTTACACAGTTTGGCATTCAGACTCTGTATTAAATAGCATCACCAGTTATTTTTCTGTTTCCATTTCCTGCATCATCTTCATCAAACACTACTGTTAATAGGTTAGTCAAAGCTTCATCTCCCATTCAAGGCCCCAAGCACTGCTACACACCTCAAGCTTGCCTCTAAAGCCTTACACTGCAAAGAAGTGAGAAAGTTCAGATGGCAGGGTACTGTCAGATCACATACATTTCAGTGCAAGAATAAAGCACAAAATAAGAAGCGCTAAGCTCTCTTCTAGTCCCATCTGAAGGCCACATGATTTCCTGTATCAAAGCAGAAGTGTCACCAAAAGGTCACTATTCAAGTATTACTTGTAGGACAGGAGGTACAACATGCTGCAGACATGTGGCAAGGACAAGTGAGGGCTACCAAGAGGCCAAGAAATACTCACCTTACCTTCAGAACTGGTCAGCTTGACCACCAGGGAAGCAAAGTGGGCAAAAAATTTGCTTCAGCTGTACTGTTTTAAAGAGAAGGCCAACAATTCTTCATTCCCACTGCAGCTTTGCTTTCTGCCATCACACCCAGTCCACTACAAGAGGTTTCAGGAGCCTGCCCTGCCCCACCCCCTTCCCCCCGTTCTGGGTTGGATTTATACTGCAATAAGCTGAGATTCAAACACGTTACACTTACCCCAAAAGAGTAAGCCTATGCTCCAGTCTGTGGGTTTCCAGTATATGGAGTTTTAACCACCAAACCTGAGTATCTAAGAAGCCTTTATAAAATGTACTGGGCCACTACCAAACCCACCCCCCCCCGACACTCCAAAAGGCTATTTAGTACAAAAATTGGAAACTGCAATTTGCATTACACATCCTGCTAGGCAGGAACCACCCCTAAATTAAATACAGTGGGACTTCAGCCCTGACAGTACAAGGTGTTTCCCTATAACCGCACTGATTAAACAGCTTGCAGGCACCAGACCTCCAAGTCCTTTTCAGCAGACGTCACACTACACAACATAAAGCAGCAGGCAATTGGCCAAAAATGGTTAGCAAAAAGGATTCCTTAAACCTCCAGCATCCAAATATAGCCCTGGCTGGTCACATGGGCTGCCATACAGTAAGTGCTCCTCACTTTACCTACCCTTTGATTAAACGTTTTGAGCTAAAAAGCATGTACTTAGTACAGCATTTCAGTTTCCAGCCCAATTCCATGAACCGTATAATCTTGCTGTACCTTCCACATTCAGACTGGCAGAAAGGAAAGGTTGATTCAGGTTTCTAGTGAGCCCAAGGGGGATGGCTAGCTAGAAGAAGCTAACAGAATATGAGACCTCTAACATAGATGCACATACACACATATTTATGTGTGCGTATATATATATAAATATTTTTTAAAAGCAACATATCTGCCATACAATGCAGCTGCTGTAAAATACTTCATTATTAACATACTCTACGGCACATACTGATCTAAATAGTCACACCTTACTCCATCTGGCCTCTAGCATGTGTTTTTTCATATTACTCTCATTATGATGAAAGCAGACCAGCTGATTACATCTACCTCACAAGAACTCCATAGCTTAGTTTACACATAAAGAAACTCTGCAAACTTTCTGAAGAAAGGCAGGCCAGCTACTGTACTGTTGCCAGGTGTCAACTTGAACTGAAGAAAGTTGAGCTTGGCCCTTTTTTTCTCAGCCCTTAAAGCCACTGTCCAAGTTAAGTATTGTGCAGGTGTCAAATAAGTTTACATTATAAAGCCTTGCAACTGCACTAATAAATACATCTGCCACTTTTCCTTCCAAAGCCTTTCCCCACTATCAGTGAGGGTGAAGCCTTGCAGTACTCACTCACAACAAACCTTGTGATCTTTGAATACGCAGGGGCTTGAAGTTGTAGCTATTTCTCAACTGCAGCTGGAAGTCAGAGGTTCCTAAAGAGAAACACAGCCCAGTACCAGAGGCAAGGCCTAAACCCTGAATTAGCACACTTACTGCATTGTGTCACAGCAGGGCTTGGTGGCACAGATTTTTGCTAGAAGCATGGAGACTTTTACCACGCTAAAGCTCCCAGTTAAGCTCTCAGATTCTGTGACAGACTCAGAAGAAAGCACAGCGAGGCACAGCATCGAGCACGCTCACATACCCACCACCACCGGCTCAGCTGCACCGAGCACCAGTTAGTTTCACATTTATGCCGGCAGCCAGGCCGGCCTGACTGCACTGAAATAACCCTCAGTACCCAGATGTTGCGCTATTTTTACCCTGGAAAAGAAAGAAAGGACACCCAACAAAACTTCAGGGCGGGAGGCCACGACAGCACAGACTTTATTCCGAGGCTGCAGCGCAGGTTTCGGCGCTCGGCAGCGCCCGGGCTCGCCATCCCCGCAGTGACGTGTCCACCTGAGGCTCCGGGGCCGCCGCCGCCGCCGGAGACAAAGTTCTGTAGTGCACTGACTGCTATCGTACCCAGAGTCGGAGTGTCACAGAACTTTGCTTCCGGAGGCTCCAGTCCTCCGCCGGTACCGGCGCCGGGGCCGCCCGCCAGCACAAGTTTCCCTGCCTGGGAAGGGAAGGCGCACACGGTTAGAGGTGGGGAAGGGAGCCCCCTCCTCCTCCGCGGCTCGGCGGGAGACCCGCTGCCCGAGGAAGAGGGAGAAGGAGGCGAAGACATTTTTTTTCTTTTTTTTTTTTTTAATAAATACCCAAAATGCATCCCCCCCGCACACACCTCCCCCAACCCGGAGCTAACGGGCCGCCCTGCGAAAGCCGCGGCCGAGCGGCTGCCCGGAGCGCTGCCGCTGCAGCCAGCTGAGCTGCGGCTCGCCGCTGACAGCCCCGGCGCCGCGGCCCTGCGGGACCCCGGGCGGCGCCGGGCATCCCCCCGCGGCCCC